TGAATTTCCATGATCGGCTCCGAAAAGAATAAACCCAAGATGTTGCGTGAAGAGCTGGCTCACATGTCCTGCATCCGAAAAAAAGTGGCATTGTCGAAAGATCAACGGGATCGGGACCAATGGCTGGCTGCAATTCCTGTAGAACATTTACGGGCACCTCGGAAAGCGGACCCTACCTGATTTATATGCTCCTTGCATTTTGTGGAAAGTGATTACATTGAGTTCGCAGGTGTCAAAACGGAAATCCCATACTGTTTAATTCAGCGAAGTATCGTCCACAACATTTGTTTGTTATTTTTTTGTTTGTTTCTTCAGTGATGATTGTAAAGAAAAGAAAAAGATATGTAAACATCGAAAATTGTCTGCAAAAAAAAAAAAAAAAATATTCACGGGGGATCGAACCCGGTCCTACGGCGTGTGAGGCGGACGTCTTTCCCACTGAGCTACTGGGGCATCTCGTTCCTGGTGGATCTCTTTCCTTAGTAATAATTCAGCCGGTAAACTGTAAGTTTGAAAGTTTGCTGTCGAGTTTTCTCTAGCAAAAGCACTCCCGGGTCGAAGTCGGGAAGCACCACGCTTTGGGGACATTCGCACCTAGTAAAGAAATCGTACGCGTGCATATCCAACTCGAAGTAGACACGTCGTGCTTGACGTTTGCGCGAGCGATGTCTTCAGCCACGAGAAGGGAGCGACGGCTCGGCGACGTCTTCGTGCAAATCGGCTTGGTGGCCGGGCGTGTCGTACGGGATGAATACCAATTCTTTTGATCAGTCCCAAATTTCTCTTTTAACGGTAGACAGAATTCGCCGGTACCGCGAACGACAGTTCTGAAATAGAGGTCCCACGCCCGTCGTCCGCTGCCATCTCCGTCCCCGCGAGTCCCGCGATACGCGAAACGACGAACGCACAGAATGCTTCCGGTTGTCTGTGGAACTTTTTTTTTCAATCAACGTATTTACAGCTTTTTAGAAGCCACAAAAAATGGGTTTCATGTTTTTTTCTATTTTTAATATTGAGTGTGTGCCTTCAGTGACCAACGACTTTGATTAAATTTGGTGGTCGCATCGATACCTTAGAAAACGGCCCGTGACCGCGAAAAAGAGAGTGAGCGAGACTCGAACCGGCCAATTCTTGATCGGCGGTTTTCGGGCGGAAAGAAACCGAATTTCGAGCCGCAAATTCTGTTCTGGGTAGTTGAGCCCTCATATGTCACGTACAACTAACAACCTCGGCGAGCATAAACACCCTGTCAGTGTCCCTAAATACGTGTGAGAAAAACTCGCGCCGCTGAGCGGCGTAACCATAAAAACCATTGTTGTCATTCGTGGTTACGCCGAGCGGCGGTGCGATGCGACGCGATACTTCCTCTCACGTGTTCCACGCTTTATCTGCGCAGCCTTGGCTGAGTCTTGGTGTGACAGAGATATCGTTTACGAGGCAGCTTCCGACTTGTGCTTGTTTGGTGCGAGGCGTCACCATAAACCTTGAGTTCATTGTGGATTAAGGCCCGCCCATGCCTTGCTTTGCATTGCGTGAGTTGGAAGGCGACCACCGAGCGTCTCTTCCAGACTACACATTCCCTCTACGTTTTCTATATGCTAGAATGCGACTCTTACGCGGGCCTCGTCCCAAATCCCGTTTCCATGCACTGATCGGCTAAGGTCATCAAGTTATGTCACACGCATATTGATGTGGGGCTCATCAAGAACGGTACGAACAGGGGCGGCGATGGAATGCACGTTTAATTGGGTTCTGCAACGCGAGATTATTTTTTTTCCCCTTTGATTTTAAACGAAAGACATGGAAGTCTAAAGTGACCAGACGTCCCGATTTAGGCGGGACAGGTCCCGCTTTTCCGGCCTTTGTCCCGCTGTCCCGCCAGCGTGCTTGTGGGACGCCGTTTTGTTCCGCTTTTGCTCCCCGAACCGCGGATAGATGAAAGATGCGTTTAAACGAAAGGATCGCACCGGTGAGAGAGTACTTTCTCTGATCAAGAAACAAGATATGCTCGACAGAGAAGATGCTGAAGGTTAACTGGCGTATGACATGTGAACAGTACTGTGGACATAGTACACAAAAATAAATACATTAACATTAAAGAAATATTCCAACCAATTTATTAGATATGTCAGTGCAAGCCAAACAGTATGCAAATTACAAGAAAAAGAAATTCACACGGTGTATACGAAATAATGAAAGGGTGTGATTTGTTACTGAAATTTAAACTTTTCAAGTCTTGCAACACAATAATCCCCCCCCCCCCCCCCCCCCCCCCCCCCCCCCCCCCCCGATATGCGTCCCGCTTTGGGGCCCGAGGAATATGGTCACTTTATGGAAGTCAGAATCCTCATTTGTGCACGTTTTAATCCTGGCGCTTGAAAGGCTACTCCGTTTCATTTTTGTTTTCGAAAAAAAACGAAGACCGCGCGTCAAATATTAAGACGTAGTTCTGTCTAAATGTTTTTTTTTTTTTAACGGTCCAGCAAACTTTGGGACTCTCCAAGTTGCCAAAATCGGCTGACTCAAAGGGCGAATGGACTGTTTCCAAAACCGACGCGCCCCAATGCGGCGAAATACCACGCAGTGCACTCTGGGAACTAGTTGGCCACTCAGTTTCGGTTTCGACTGAGCAGATCCATCTCATGCTATCACGCCGCGACCGAACGCGCTGCTTGCGTTTTCGATTATCTGACTTTTTTTCCGAATGTACAATACACTCATTCTCGAGCGATACAAAACGAAGGCCGGGGCACTTTCCTTGGTTCCCGAAACACCGAATATTATGAGTGCTTATGCAAACGTAGTAAGACGTGGCTTAGTCACCTCATCTTTGAGCCCACTTTCAATAATACCGTCTAGTACCAGTGAACTACAAGTGAAATTCGGTCACCTGGAGCATTACACGTACTTTGTTTGCCAAAAGTCCGCTTCTTGTTACTTTATTGGGCGAAAAGCAAGCCGCATCCTCACAGGAGTATCAAAGTTGAGCCCAGCGTTGACGCATGAACTTTTAAGGAAACGCAATAAATTCGACCTCACTATTGCACCAAAGTTACTATGATGTCGTCCTCGTGTCATCATATATCCCCCAGTCATATTTTATGCTGATAGAAGATTAAGTTTTCCCAAACGCTGAGCCTCGGCTAGCTACGACGGAGGCCCTAACAAGCGTCCCCTACTCCTCGCTAGGCCTTTTTGGACGAGCTTTTACTGACGCCGAAGATCTGTGCCTGAACGGTGTGTCTGAAATTATCTCGGCATACTCAGGCAGGAAGAAAGCAAACACGTAACACATATTATGGTTATTAGCAACCGTCAAATGCAATTTGAATAATTTAGTTTGTTTGGCGCACCGCATAGGGGTTCATGCCCGTCCGGTGTACTTCTGGCGAATGGTGCGACATTTTTCACACAAGTGCTCTACTTTTGCTTTCTTAAAACGGTTTGTATGCGCGAATGTGCCTATACGATTGCAGGATAACTTTACGCACATACGCGATGTTGAATATTAGTAAAATGCAAATGGCCGGGGAAAGCTTCGCTCCGTGCAGTGCTGCGGGTCAGTACAGATAAGAGACAAGAAATGTGTTATAATTCAATGGTACCTCCGAGTTTTACCACGCGTACACATGCGTATCAAGAAAATCGATAATTGCAAAAAGTTATATTTTGTCTATGGACGCACGAAACAAACACACTTCCTGATCAACAACACTAATGTAAAGGCGCGAGCTCGATGTATGCATACTTATTGGTGTCTACAGCTTGTTGATTCGTACACAAGCAAGATCCCCGAGCTTCGCAGCGTCGACATTCCCAGCACCGGCTCGTCCACATACCTCGAAACGCTAACAGAATGGCTCAAGTACAAAAATACAACAAGCGCATGTCTTAAGACAAGCTATACGTCTAGGGCTTGTGCTAAAGCTTCGAGGTCTGACCATTTAGGTTAGTTTAGAGACCACCAATGACGCTCTCGGGGCCAGAAAACATGAGACAACGGCCGTTAATAGTCCATGCTCTGTGTGTAATCTCTTGTCGGCGTGTCGATCGAAACCGAAACCATGGCACTCTCCTCCCTGGCCAACTAGTTCCCAGAGTGCAACGCGCGCCGTGTTGCATGCAGGGCTTTATGGAAGTAGTCTATTGAGGCACGGCCAACAGCGCAGTCAAGGCTACGGCGTGGGCGTAGCCAACATTGAGTTAAACGTCATCACCGTTTCCCTCTTTTGCTTGTGTTTACTTCTCCGGGCAAGCGAAACGGGTGAGGTCAGCAAGTTCATTTCCTCTCGGTGCGCTTGCGAAACGAGCGCCTTGGGAGCCGTCCGGTCGCCCCGCCGTAGTCCCGCCTTTACCGCCGTCTCCCGCGTCACAAGTCACAACCGCCGTCGTCGTCTCACCGTTTATGATCATTGTCTCTCGGAGTCCCTTTCACTAGTCTTTATTTCACAATACGGACACTACATACGCAGATTTATGCCGCAATCGTGCGGACGTTGTGGAATGTCGTAGACACCAAAACGTGGTGAAAAGTGCGGTGCAGACGACACTTTCGTCTCGCATACGCCCGCCCAATCCCACCCGTCGTTGCGTGGAAGATTACGTGACATCTCGTACCACATGATAGTCATGTGCTTGGCGGCCCGAGGCAAATGCTGCCGGACGGAGCCGAAGTTTCGGTTTCGATTTCCGCTTGTGTTTAAATTCGATCTAAAAATATATGTCCCATTTTACTCGAAGCAATGACGCAGTGTCTTCTACTAGCGCTTTTTAATGCGAAATCACCCATTATCCCTAAATCGTCGGAAGCGAGCGGAGTTGCCCTTCTAGGCTAAGCCATATGTATTTGGCTAATTAATGGTCGTCCTATGGTATGTGACATCCGCTTTAACTCTCTTGTCATCTCCGGTCTGCGGTGTTGAGCTCGTATGGCTTAAATACAAAATGAAGTGCTTCATTCTTCTAATCTAACTGTGACCACTCTGTCTGCTTGTTCAAAGGAGAGCTCCATTACCAAGTGAAGGACGCCGACGTTTTGCACATATTGACCGAACAAAACTTCGTCCAAAAAGTTAGCAATGTGCATGCGAAGGCTCCGTTCAAGGTGGGTACAGCTAATGCTGCTATTATATAAAAGCAAATAATGTTAATATTGTGTATGAATATATTTTACATGATGTTATTGAGAGGCACATTACTACTCCGTGATTTCTACGAAGGAACAGTATTAGGACTTTGATACGTAATAGAAAGAGTTTCTAGGAGTTGATTGCACATTTCAGGGCCTCTTCGTGATGGGGGATGCCGAGGGGTTTGTGTCTGCCTCCAAGTTTTCCCACTGGAAGGAGTCAGAATTCCAAGAGATCCTCGTACCGGACCCGGAGCGCACCCTCATGGCGCTGGCCTACACGTCGGGCACCACAGGGCTCCCAAAGGCCGTAGAAATCACGCACTGCAACTACGTTGCTTCCTTCTACACTTACGCGTATGTACTGATCACACGTGTAGTTATTTTGCCTGTCTTAGTCTTTTGTCATAATGACTGTAAGGATTGTAAAATCTCTAGCTTCAAAATCTTCTAACTTGTGCAGTGTGATTGCTCGTCTGCTCCTTGCGGAGAGGCTGCGGTGACGTCACTGTGCCGAGCTCTTATTGAAAGGATAGTGGGTACACGCAGAGGGCTAGCGTCCTTTGTCTCTATTTATTGTTTCCCCCGATCAAAGCCAGCGAGGTCGTCCTCTGCTCCTCGCGCAGAGGGAGTGGTGGCGTCAGGGTCAGTCTTTGCGACGCCGAGCACCGGCGTCGTCTACTAGTCCTAGCCATTGTTGTCAAACGTTCTCCACCGCTTTCGTAAATCCACCGGTTCTATACGAATGAGGATTTGAGGACGGTCTAAACCCACCCGCAAAACGTGCTAAAACGGCTCCTGGAAACTCCGGAAAGGGGGGGGGGGGGGCCGAGGAGGAGGAGGAGGAAAAGGAGGAGGCAGAGGAGTTGCATTAACGGTCACATGAAGATGACGTTTTGGGGGTGTATGGGGAGTCAACATATTACTATACTGAACTTTTTCGGGCCCCGGAGAGCGCCTCGGCCAAGCTGGAGAGGCGGTTCACCCTCCTTGGCCTTTGTGCAAACCTTGAGGTGGTTGGGGTTGGGTGAAAAATGGGGGGTGGAAGGTACGCTATTCGCTTCTCGTTGACCCAACAAAAGGACAAAGGGAGAATGACTAAAAAACGCAACAAGACGACGGACACAGAAGAAGACAGAGACACAGCGCTTTGTCTGTGTCTTCTTCTGTGTCCGTCGTCCTGTTGCGCATTTTAATCATTATGAATCACCAACTTGTCCAACTTTCTACCCTCGACAAAGGGAGGCTAAGAAGCAGTTTCTTCTATTGCATTTTCCCCCTCGAAGCCACTCAATAACCCCACAAAGGGTGCGTTTTCTCCCTCTCCGACCCGTCATGTATGTTTTTCCCTTTCCCTCTTAACCTTTCCGCCTCCGGCGTCTCGGCGGGCTGCCCCTTTCAACTTCTCGCTCATACACTGCCGCACGCTTCTAGGCTAAAACGGCAAGCAAAAGTTTTTATGTTGGGGGGCAGAGAAAACGCACCCCCCCCCCCCCAACCATAAAATCAAATAACATTATAGCACATCTAATTTGAAAATGTATGTACCGTATTTTCCGGACTATAGACCATTCCATTTAGCGCTCTCTGGGCAGCACCATTTTGTTCGACCGCAGCGCCCTCTCCACACATCCGGAAAGCTCAGCGGGTTCGGCGGGGTAAAACGAGAGAGAGGGCACGCGCCCGACTCCGCTAGCAGACGACAAACCGGGAGGTTGCCGTTCTCCATCTTTGGGCTGTATCGGCGGGCTCTACCGAACATCGAACTCTCGCTCGTGGCTGCCGTTGTGAAGTGGTTCGCGTTCTTAGAATAGTTGTGGCTATTCCAAAATCAGCCTATAGCTCTCTATTGTTCTATTTTGCTATATGATCAACTAGCATATCTTTTTTCCGTTACTTAAATAGCAGTTGAGTCAGCCGGCAGTACTACCCTCAACTACTGCTTGTATTGCGGCAAGAGAGCACGTGTTATTTATTATTTCAGAGTTCCGCTCATGGTCGCTAAAGGCCTACACCAGTACTAACTTTTGTATAGTAAAAAAGCTACAGCAAACGAATTTAATTTTCGCCAAAGAGACCGGCCAATCTTGCACAGTTTTCCCTATTTTTTGTTTTTATTTAAACGCAGGTTACAGCGCAATTGGGCCCTGTAAGTCTTTTTATCTAGCATAGTATTACACGATAACTGGCATACCAAAATCTGCGCATCTGCGCTTGAAAGTTCCAAAATTACGCGATTTTAAACAGAGTTTGCACGCCAGCCGGACGCTAGCTACAGCCCACTGGGCGGAGCGGACGACATGAGGGGTGAGAGGAAGAGTGCATTTTTTTTTCTCTTTTACCTTCTCTGCTATGACCCTAATGGAACGGTCTATAGGTGTTTAAAAGTTGAAATTTTAGGCTGTGCGGACTATCTACGCGTGCGGACTATACAGGATTTTTGTCTTTCAATATCATTGATTATGACGAGACGGGCTTTGTGAATGAAAGAGTATGTTAATGATGATTTATGCAAATTATAGGCTTGTTTGTGAGCCAAGAAAGCAGACATTTGTCAAGGGGTGCCGTCGATTGGGATTTTTGTGGCAACTAATCACCAGGTGCGGATTATGCACCGGGTGCGGACTATCTAAGCAATAACTTTAATTTTAGACCCCAAATTTGCCCCTGCGGACTATACACCTGGTGCGGACTATAGTCCAGAAAGTATACGGTATGTATAATTTGGAGATGTGTGTATGTATAATTAGAAGATGTATCTATGTGCTAAGTTATAATATAATACATCTCCAAATTACAAACTACTGATAGATGCCGTGCCATACACGAACTCACATCTGTCACGCCATGGCGCGGTGGTGGCGCGTCGGGCGCACTTCCGGTCTGGGGCTGTGGGCGGATGTCCCCATGTGAGGCGTGTATTCCTGCGTTGTTTTGACGGCCGCCTGATTGTCCGAACTGTCGTCTGCTTTTTCAAACGTTTCCGCTTGTCGTATGCTCTTTGAGACGACACCGGCCCGTAGACCAAACGTGGGCACGGTACTTGTGATAAGCAGTAAGTGCATGCCTGAAAAGACTTAAGTTTGAAGGTTGGTAAGCAGGCTCGATGTAAACAGTGGATACAAGGAGATGTTGATCATTGTTACCAGTGACCAATCACTGACTTGTTATCCCTGATTCCCTTGGTCCGATTCTGCTTGCGATTTTCAGTATCGACGTCGACCATCTCAGTTACGGTTCACGCTTTTGCAGCCCGAGCGACGTCGTGACTGAAAATTGCGAGCGAAATCTCATCGTGCGAATCAGGGTTCAGCGTCCATTCTGCGGCGTCCACGCGGAGTGAATCGCCGCATGTCACATTATTCACGCGAAATTTCGCGATATAACGAGCCTCGGTAATTTCACTCAGGCCACTCAAGTAGTCAGAGATTGCCAGGAAGACGTAGAATCAGCAATTCCAGCCGAAAAAAAAGATCACGGGGACTCACACGCACGCTGACAACATCGCATTTCAATGGTTTGTTTATGGGCGACGGCGAGCTTTTGCCCACACCCGCATCGCGCATGCGCGGCGCCGGTGGCGTCCGCGAGGGCTGCGACAGTGTCCAGCGTAAACTCGGTTAAGCTCGTATTGAAAATGAGCGCTGTATCAGCGTTCGGCGAGGACCCGAATCTGATCACGCACTTCGTGTCCAAAGATGAATGGATGGATAGACGCTAACGGCTGCAGCCTTTCTAACGGGTGGTAGCTTGCGCAACCTAGCCTAGAAAAATAAAACCCAAAAGAATGATTTCCTCTCTTTGCGAATTTGCTCCCCCTCTGCAATTTTGTAATCATCACTAGGTGGCGTGGGATATCACCAGGTTGACTTTTGGGGGATCGGGCAAAAGAATTAAAGACATGGCCCCCCGCCTGTAACATTCGCGGACCCCATCGCCAAGCAATGGCGACCGCCAATGTTCCTCGACGGACATTTGAAAAGGGTATGTTAACTTTAAAAGAGTAGCTCTTAGGCGCCCGATTCATGCATGAGTGGTGTCGCCGTCGGCGTAAGCGCGCGTTGCGTTATAGGACATTTCCCATAATGACGTCACACGGCGCCTAAATTTAGCGAAAATATTTCCCGCTAAATTTAGCGGGGAAATTTTCCCGCCAATTTAGCGAGAAAATTTCCTCACTAAACTTAGCGGGGAAAGTTTTCCGTCAAATTTAGGGGAGAAATTTCCCCGCTAAATTTAGCCGGGGAATTTACCGGAAGTTGTCCCACGATTTCCCGGTAAATGCACCGCCGTACCCTTCCCTCCTCCTCCTCAGGAGCTGCGTTCTAATTCGGGAATTCAGAGAATTGTAAAGGTCTTTCATATCTTATTTGTTAGTTTTAGAGGTCATGCTGGAATTCCAATATTGACGTCAATTATTATTAAAGGCAAGACCAATTAAAAAAAATGTCAGAAGGTAATGTTTTCTTTTTTTCAGTCAAAAAAAGCGCCGCGAGCCCTGTTGACGACGCTTGGTAGAGTGACATCGTCACTTCAATCATGTCGTCACAGTCTCGGCACCGTATCCTTGGTAGGTGCGCCGACGACACAAGTGACTATGTGACATAAATGACAACTTCTTCCAAGCGTCGCTGTGTGCAGTGCTTGATGCGCTTTTTGGCGCGCAATTTTTAAACCCAGGGAAAAAACGCGAAAATTGATCGAATAATATCTTAAGTATTATTACCCTCTCACAAATTATTTAATTTTGTCTGACCTTAAAGGGCTTTTTTACTGGTTTTTAATTTGCACCGAGCCTTAGCGCACTGGACGTAATAACTTAATAAAAGTTTTCTTTTCTTGAATTGCGCTTTATTCTAAAAGTTATAGGCAAACTAAAATTACAAAAACAAGCAAAAAATAACCTCTCTCATGACGTCCTTGGTTGCTTGAGTGGCCGTGAACTAGAGGAGGGGCAGTGAGCTCAGCGAGCGCTCACGGCTGCCGCACTCCGTGTCGACGGCGCGAGAGGGCGCCACTGAGGCATGTTCTGGATAGGCTGTATGCAGCGGGCAGTCAGAGCGGCTCTCATTGCATTTGCTGCGCAATTAAACACTAATTCGGCATGAAACTTCATTGGCCACAAACGGCAGCAAACACGGGGTAAAGATCAGTTCAGATTGGGAGCCACTTCGCGCTGCGATAACGCGAAACGGCCAAACCGCAAGACTAACCTGCCCGCGAAGGCCCTCTGAACGCTCGGAGCCGCTCGGATCTTCCAGTCGATACGACCGCAGCACCGCCGCGTACATCCGGGACCTTTCCGTGTCGGCGCCTGATCCCACTACTCCTTTCTAGTATGTGCCGCCTTTTCCACC